AGAGAGAGAGAGAGAGAGAGAGAGAGAGAGAGAGAGAGAGAGAGAGAGAGACCATCAAGTACAAAAAAGGCAAGTGCTTCCCGCACTGTTCCACCCAACGTTACAAATTTGCAATGACGGGACTATCTGTCCCCAAGATTCTAAGCACTACAGGTAATTTACAACGACAACACTAAATTGCACGAATGGCGATCTACCATACATGACCCGCAACAGCGGACAGGGATCGACCAACGAAGCCTCGCCGTGTCTACGACGACGCACCTGCCAACACGACTGCAACGGGAAAACAGCCAACAACTCGCCCCCGGCATCAAGGGACTCCACAATTGCACAACACACTTTCTAGCTGCTCGGCCTCTCACGAATGGCCTTCGCTATTTCCAACAATGCGTGGCACATGAGTTTGCTGACTTCGTCTGACGCGACATAGTGCTTCCTTTGCACTTCCACCTCCACTTCCAACGCCTCGCACTGCCGGACCTGGATAGAGCATTGCCGCTTGCTTGCAATCTCCATCGTCGACGCCATTAGCTCCCCGTGTTTCTCCATGCATTCCGTCAGCGCCTCGAAAGTCTGCTGCCTCGTGCTCTTCCTTTTCCCAGAACCGCCGGGGGTGCCAGTCGTCTGCGAAGAGCCTCGCGTCGACCCCTCCTCGTCGTCTTCTCGCCCTGCACCTCCTTCCCCGTCCGCCACCGATTCAGGATCCACGTAAGACGTCGGAGCGCACGCCGCCAGACGCACCGGTGTCTGCCGCGTTCTTCGGGTGGATGGTGTGGTTCATCCCAGTCGACCCCTCTATCTCGTCATAAACTGCGCGATCCATCGTGAAATTGAAGCCCCTGCTCGCCCTCTCCTTCAACGTCAACTGGAAAAAGTCGGCACTCCCTGACGGTGATTGAAAGTGATGGACTTTCTTGAACTGCTGCATTAGACTATCCCACTTCTTCCCGCATTTCTCCGCATTCCTGTCCACGGCGACGTTATTCAACCTTTGGGCGACGTCTTGCCATTTCCATTCCCGAGGTTTCATCCATGCATATGCGTGCCCCATCCCCTGCATATGCGCATCTTGGTCACGTTTAGCCCTTATGAGGGCTATAATGTGTTCCACGGACCAGAAGTTGCGCTTCTCCTCCGCATCACCGTCGCCTTCGCCACCGCTCCCCTTTCCCTGCCCTTTCTTCGCCCGCGGACGAGCATTGTGGCCGGAAGGCTTGGACTTCCCACCCTTACCAGCCATGTCGCTTTGCAACGATGGCGACGCGTGACCCCCCCCCCCTTCCCCACACTCTACGTCGTTGTCGTCGTCGTCGTCTGCTTCCGCCGGTGGATCGTCCGTCTCGTTCTCGTTCTCCCGGTCTCCCACGTGAAGACGCTCCACCCCCCGTGTGATGTATTCCTCTCGCCGCAGCCGGTGATCCCGCCACAGGTCCCTCCACACCTTCCTCCCGTCGCGACCATCACCAACATCCAAGAAGTCGGTCCCGCCGTCGACTCCGACGCCACGGCCTCGTGCCACTTCCGACGCCGCAGACAGGTGAGATGGCAACTGCATCCACTCCGGCCGACCCTGGGCGCCCTTGGACGGAGAGGCCGCCCGTGGTTGGGCCGTCGACGAGTTCTGGTTTGCTCCCGCCGTCTCACTCACCAACGCCCTCGTCCTCGCTGATCGATCAACAACTGTCAATTGCCCGCCTTCGTCGCCGGGGTGGGGTCGCACGAGCACTGTGCGCGATGGAGTTGTAGACCGCCCGGTGGACAAACCAAACGACAGGTTGACGTGGCCATCTCCTTCGTCTTCGCCAAGGCCAGGCCGAAGGAGTTCAGTGAACGACTGCTCGTACACGTCGCCGCCCGTCCCGCACAGCTCCGTGGCTGTCCACTCCTGCGTTGATCCGCTGCCCAACGACACGGTTTGTGGCCGTCTCTCCACCTCCTCCTCCTCGTCCGATGAGCCGGGGAGTGGTTGCAAGTGCGGTGGCAATGCATCATACCCAACCCGCTGGGGGGCCTGCCAACGGTCGACAGGCTCCCCCCGCACCGCCTCCCTCCGACCTGCTCCCCACTGGACCGGGGGATCGCCTGTCGTGCCTCCATCCTGGCGTCCTTCATCGAAGACCTTCTTTTGCGTCGACGTGGCGGCACGTTCCCAAGGATGCACACGCGGAAGAGAACCACGAGGAGCAGCAACAGGACAACGAGGAGCAGCAATGGCAGCCTGTGGAACATGTCAATCATAAAACAGTCGACGACGACGGCAGCAAACGGAAGACAACGTGGGCGCCAACATAACAGCGGAGCGCAGTGCTGCAAACGGCCGTCCCGACTTCGCAACAAACCCCCGAGGACGTCTTCGGTCTCCCACGGTCAGTGCGTAATTGGGAGCTGGAGTGCGGCCTGAAATATTTGTATCTGCCGACCGTTGGGACATTCCCGCGGATTGCCAAACGCGACGACGCAAGACGGCACCTTCTGGACGTCGGGGATGCCGGTTGGCCGCAAAAGGTAACCGTTGGAGTGAAGCCGAACGTTGGCGACCCAACATGTCCGTGGAGACGCAGGCAGGACCACCGATGGACCAGACGAAATTGAAAAATGTCGTCGAAGGAGCTGCCGTCGATGCCCCGATTCTTCCGGAAGCTCGACCTCCGAGGGACCTCGGGAGGTCCCTTGGAGAAATCGCCAAAATGGTTGTGGCCCCGAGGAATCCTCGAGGAAATGTTTTCACATTTTCTTTTCCGCATCTTCCCCGAGGATGAGTGGAACGAGCATTTCCTTGGGGAATTTCGGGCCCCGAGGAGTGTCGAACGAGGCCCTAGGTGTTGAATTTTTTCTTTTGTAGTTTCACATTTAGTTCTGATTACAATTTGAATTTGTTGTTTGATTGTGTCCATAAATTCTGGTCCATCCAGCCATACCCCTTTCATTTCAAAGGTACACCACCTCATCCATATGGCCCAAAGTACTGCTCTTCTTCCTTCAATGAATAGGTTATGAGTGAAATCATCATCTGTTTTTGGGACCATGTTTCCAACAAAACCGCTTTTCAGTCCCATGGCCATTGACATTGGGTACCCAAATGGCGTCGGATCCGATCTCACCATCTCCAAAGCCAAATAGCCCCTGGACATTACAAAAATATATGTTCAATAGTTTCTGGCATAGGTATTGTGGGGAAGGTTGTTTTACATAGTTTGCACCAAGGGAGTGTCTTTCCCTTTTGTTCTAAGGTAGTTCGATCTATCAACCAGTCATTCCTTAGAAGATAGCGATGTTCAATTTGCCAATGTAGCAAGGCCACCTTGGCTGGTTTGTCCTTGATTGTCCTAAACCATTTAATTGGCTTAAGTTCCTCTTTGCTCAGGTTCAGTTGATTAATCTATCTAGTAATTAATCTACCCTTTAGATTAATACTAGGTCTTAGCATTTTGTATGCTCTCTTGTATTTCCGTCCATTGCCTACTTGCGATGTTGAAACCCAATTGATTGGGTCTAGGACCAGGTAAGAAATGGGGATGTTAGGTCTGAAAGCCAGCCATAAAGATTTTTGCTTAAGTACTCTTATCTTGAAGATAAGCTGCTTATCCACCCATTGAACTTCCTCTGTTGGAATAACTATGTTATCATAGGCTAACCTAGATATTGACAAAATAATTTCTCCATTGGTGTTGATTTGTAAAATATTTCCAATCAGGTGGAGTTGATTAGTGATGGTGTGACGAACCGATTTCCGCACCGCGCGATTTCCTGCACGATAGCGATGAGGGGTCCTAAGCTAGGAGGAATGGGTTAATTACGGGAGATCGGGATAGGAAGGAAATTGCATTGGTGTCCCTGCTTCTTCGTCTTTTTCGTCGTCTCCTTTTTCGATGGTTGGGTTCGGAACTGGGTGTGTCCCGGGACGATCAATCGATTGGTCGGTTGAATGGTTGGCGAGCTGTCATGCGCGCGATTAATAACTGTTGACGTCGCTTCTTTTGTTTCGATTTTGGAATCTAGGCGCGGACATCGCGCGGGAATTTGCTTCGTTCTTTTTGAATTTTCTTTTTGATTTTTTTTTCGAATCCTGTTGAGCCCCGATGGCTCTCGGAATTTCGGACTTTCCTTTCGGTATTTTTGCTTTCCACCTTTTTCTGTGTGAGATAGGAATTTGGAAATTTTGTAATTAGGAATTTCCTCTGGGCCACACGACGCTTTTTGCTTACGCGCTTCTTCGTGTGGCTGCAACGAAACTCTGATTAGTCGGCGCCTTTAATCGTGTGTGTAACTGTAATTTTGGGCGGGCGCCATTGTAACTGTATCTTTCTTCTTGTGATTCGTCTTTTTCGCCTGCGGGCTGCACGATCGGATCGATGCGTGGAGAGGGGCAAAGTCCCTCCACGCTGTGTGTAACTGTAATTTTGGGCGCTTCTTCTTGTGATGTCTAGCCCGCCCGCGGGCTGCACGATCGGATCGATGCGTGGAGAGGGGCAAAGTCCCCCACGCAGCAACCAGGTCATGCAGAACGTAGGCGCTCCCTCTCTAATCTTCTCTCTCTTCTGTGTTCTTCGCGCATGCATGCACGCTATAAATTCCGGCTGCGCGATTAGTTAGCTCTCTTAACCAGCTAAGTGGAAGCTCGGGGTAGCGAGATCAGTGCTCACGAGCGAAGTAAGAGGTGAGTTGAAGTGGGAGTCGGGCGACCCGACGAGCTGGTGCCAAACGCGCGGGGTTGACGCGGGCCACGACGGACTGTGGGCGCGGGTGAACCTGACGGGTGCGGGAGGACTAAGCGGGGTGACGACTTCGTGGGTTGGTGTGTGACGACGGATTGTCCGCATCGGAGAGAGAGAGAGAGGAAGAGGGAGCTGAGGTTGATGGACGCGGATTTGCTGTTTCTTTTGTCTTTTCTCCCTCTCTGCTGATGTATATAAATTTTGATTTCGGATCAGGGCGATTCGCCCGTTTTTGTTTTCGAAATCTTGGCTTGGTTTTCTTTCGTCCACACTCGTCTTTGTGATTTCCATCTCGGATCTTGAGTGCATTATGTTGAATGAATGGATGAATGGATGTTATATCTGGTTGCTCGATCTTTGCCTTTGCCAATCGTCTTGATGCATTCATGAGTAGGGTAGGAATTTTTGTGCACTCATCGATACTGCTTCCGTTTTTGTTTACCCATTGATTGAGTTGTTGCGATTGTTGCATCTTTTTGGCTCGGAATTTACGAAAGAATTAGACGATCGGATAACTGTTTGCCCAGAAAACCAGCGAACGCCGCGCGCAGGGGCGCGCGTAGGTGCGATATGATCTGCGCACTTACACGTGTCCCCGCGCGTCGATTCACAACCCACCACGTATAAAAAGACTTAACGATTGCAGGGGTATTGCCTGATTGGATGTGGCCCTTCCGCGTCAGCGACGAAACGATCATCCCGTGTGAACACGTGTAAGTGCGACTCGCGCAGCCTACACGTACTCACAAGCCATGATCGCAATCGATGAAGACACGTCCTTAGGAATTCCGCGGCTCTACGATGACATAATGACACACTCCGGGAACTCAGATTCGTCGTACGACCCGGAGTACTTCACCCCTTGGATTGAGGAGTGCCTCCGACGGAGGTTCCCCTGCCTAACCAAGAACCGACTGTGTCCTAGGGAGTTCCACTGTGCCACAACCAACGATCCGCGGTGTTCTGATTTCCCCACCGCGGACCACACTCACTACTTTATTTCCCCCGGCTTTGTCGTTATCTCCACTAACTTCCCTCTCTTTTGTCTTCTTCTCCTGTATCATCAACTCAGGGTCATCCCGTGGAAAGTCATAGCCCCCTACTGGCCCAGCACGCCCTGCGGAAATTGCCGACAATGCGGCAACTAGAGAGCCTAGGAACCGCGAGGGCCCAAGCAGAACGTACGACGACCGGCGCCACGTGGCGACAACCGACGACCGGACTCATCGGGATCACACCCACCCCGAAGGGATCTTCCGATGAGCCGCCGTCCCCTACACAGATGGATCGAATGGCCATAAATGACCCGCGCATGCCATCTGCCTTATGACCAGAAGTGGTCCGCCCTCTCTGCCAAATTGCACCCGTGCCCCCGAAAAACTCTGTCACAGGAGATCTCAGTTCTCACCTGGAACTCCACCCCCACTTTCCCAAAAATCCTTGGCACACCCCTTGCCGCATTTCCAGGCCCACACCCCACTCCGATCAGGAAATCACGTGGGGCGTGAGGTTTGGGTGTCACAATGGCTACCCAATGTCCTTCTACAAATGTAAGGTCTTTTCTCAGGATACGAATCCAGTCCAAGGGGATTAGTTCCGTTATTTTCTTTAGGGCTTTCTCAGAATGGTGGCAATACCTCAACCTCCTATCATCCTATGTAAGTCATCAGGCGAAATCCAATCCTTTAGCTCCTTATTCCAAATGTCCTTGATACTCAAAACCCCTCTTTTGATTCATCCCTTCCACAGAGAGTCCTTGCAATGCAGCACACACCCTTGTGAATCTTTGACCCAACAATTATTGAACAAGGGTTGTTGGCACACTTCCTCCTATCTTGCTGGCTCCACTTTGTCCGACAAGGCTGACTTCCTCCATATCCTCATCAAGGCAGGCCAGAAGCGGTCCTTTCCAAGATCGGCCCTTACTGCCCGACGTTCTGATTGCCTTGGTTGCATTGGGTTCTCTATCTCTCTTAAGCTTTTCCCAAGGATGGTCCATGATCTGTTATTCAACCATGACATGGGGTCAACATCTTCTGGTGTTTCGGGTGTTAGGCGTCTGATCTGTTTCGATGACAAAGCATTCCAGGGGGTCTAGGGTTGAAAATTAGGCTTTTAATCCATTGGATGGATAAAGCCATCCCTTGTGTAGTTGGGTCAATCATTCCTAACCCCCCTTAAGTTTCTCTTTTGGTTGAATCACTGACTGCCATGCCACTCTACTGATAACATTCTTACTCTCATGATTACTTCTCCATGAGAAGGCGACCAATTGACTTTGAAGAGCCTTGAGAGCAATTTTGTCCATCGCCAAAATAGCTAATTTATACCAAATAGAAGTTCGGACTATGTTATTAATGCCCAGAACACGACCGATAATTGAAGTATGCTTATCCTTCCATAATTCAAGCTTCGTGAGGGTCTGTTGGGAAACCCATTCCTTGTTTGTGTTCGGTTTTCCTTCCGCTATTAATATCACTTCCAACACCCTCACAGGTGTGTTCAGGTTCATTATGTGTGGTATCAGTGTGGGTGTGCCCTCACCAAGTGTGAGCTTGGGCCTCGCTGCACTACGCTAAACTAACAAAAAAGTTCAAGCGTCAATCAAGGGTTTTCAGACTCCCGAAATGACCGCAAGTGTTATCATAGCTACACTGACGCTTGACTCTCTACTCTCATGAAACACTCTCCAACGATTCACGAACTTCTACGAACCAGACAACCTACTACCAAACAACGCCCCCTGCTTTGTCCACTGAAATTGGAGACCCGCTCTCGAAATTGTAGTGTGTGTGAA